ATTGTCCTTTTTAAAATAAAATCCTCACTGAACTCCCCAATCTTGGGAAGAAGGAAGCACATGCCCAGCATCCTAATCCAACTTCCTTTTCAACTCTCGCCTTGAACTTTTATTCACCAAAGTCAGAGAATTGGTCTATTCCAGCTGACAAGAATCCCTCAGTGTTTTATTTTTCCTACAATAATAGTAAAGAAAAAGAAAGGATAAAATTCGACTTTGGACTGGAGGCCACTTGCTAAAGGCTATGCTTTTGTCAAATAAATCTACTGTGTGTCTTTGAGCATTACACTATGCTGACCATTCACATTGTATTTTGCTCTGGCATTCTTCCCTCTCCCCTTGTTTCCTTCCTTCCTTCCTTCCTTCCTTCCTTCCTTCCTTCCTTCCTTCCTTCCTTCCTTCCTTTTTTTGTCCTTACCATTCTGATCAAAAATAAGTAACCTTTAGAGACCAAATTGATTGTTCTAAGATAGAATATATTGACAATACCAAGGTTTTGCGAACATCTTGTCAAATCCAGTCATGTTCACTGAGAGAAAATGTCGAGCCTGGTGTTACAGCTTTCTCGTTACCTCTTTCACATATTAAGTTATAGTTCCATGTGTTCACAGTACCTGGGTCTGTGTCAGTTATGTGGACTCTAGGCAGCTTTGTAAATTTCAAGCCTGCATTATGCATGTTTTAATGAAGAATGAACTGTGAGTCCCAGGGAAGCTGCTGGTTCAGTCATGCTACAGGTCCAGATGTGCAGCTGGCTCTCCTTTGTGGTATGTAGGATGCCGGCTGGTGTCTTTCCAGTGGCTTCTTGTTAAAGAAGATCTATAGGAAGGTGTGCTTTTAAGAAGTATAGAATTGGGATTGTGGTAATCATGCAAAATAACTTAAAATGGAAACTAAACCAGGAGTGTTACTGACAACAGGAGCCTGGTGCCACTCTGATCGGCTGCTGTCTCAGAAGCTGGCTGTGGATGCCATGCTTCCACCTTCTGTTGCCTGTCGAAGTGCCAACTTCGCTCCCAAAGGTGTTCAGTGACTAATGCTTTGGTTCCAAGCCAGAATATTTTATAAACGTCTATTTCTAGGCAGCTCTTGTACAAGTCTTAATTAAACTTTAATGTCAAGCTGAAGTTTACTTTTAGAGAACCTTGAAAGTCCCTTTGGTCGTAACTTGATGATAGAATGGTAGGGAAAAGGCAGTGTGGCTCTTTTCTCACCATTTAATAGGCGCTGCCAAGGAGAAGTATGCTAAGTCCAAAGGCTTACAACATGAGCAAACTACATTACCTCCTTCGTCCTGGGGTAGCTCATGACCACTCAGACAAGTACTTCCAGGATGAGGTGATAGCCAGGGTCGACAATGAGTACTTGGTTATTTATTACATGTTCATTGTGCAGCTTCTTAAATCCAAGGCTCAGAAATAAAAATTGGTTCACCTAGGGTATCCTTTATTTCTCTCTTCTTTTCTACAGGGTGCTACAGGGGAGGTTAAAAGCTTGGGGATGGATTACTTTCTCTATTTCTACATGGATTCTAAGGGAAAAGCCTGTAGCTTCTGCCAACTGAGATAAAGGACCCTCTGATGAACTCAGAATTGATCCAGGCATGTTGATGCATACCTATAATCACAGCTCGTCAGAGCATGGGATGAGATCATAAGTTCAAGGCCAGCCTGGCCTACATATAACATGACTCTCTTCCACAAAAACCAGTACAACACAAAACAAATCCAACAGCAAAGATAATGGATTTTAGCTGTCTAGTTGTTGATTTGAAAGTTTTCATCAGTCATATAGGCTTTATAGCAGGAGCTAGCCCAATGGTTTTTATAAAGAGACAGTAATAGTTTAAATTTCTTTGGGAAATGCATTCAGTCCTGGTTTCTCATCTGTTCCATTGTAGTGTAAAAGTGAGTATGGGTGGACTCAATAAAACTTTATTTATAAAAAAAAAAAGGAATGATTTACCTTTAGGCTAGAGATTCCAGATGCCTATTCTGTTGACCTGCTTGCTTTTCATGTGGCTTCCCTTTAGTATAGCTTTCCTTTTCTAGGTTAAAAACACTTTCTTATAGTATATTTTGTTATTTACTCTGTATAATTTATTTTAGTTTCCCAAACAAGGATTCAGAGATTTTCAGGAGTTACTTTCCTATTTGGGGAAAAAAATTCTTGTTTGTTTGTTTGTTTGTTTGTTTCTGAGATAAACAGAAATACAGGGAAGAAAAATAGGAGAAATGGGAAGGGATAATACACAGAACAACTACATGTATGTATTCAACATGAGACTATTATAGTTCTACATGGGAAATTGCTGAAACCCTGCTCGCCACTGAGTGGGCAAATAAGGCAGGTGGCTACTAGGGTGGAGCATAGACATAAGTGACATTCAATTTGCAGACACGGATTTAAACTAATTTCACAACATTTTAAGTAAAAGAAACTATGTTCAAAACTACAGCTACAGAGGATTGCATCTAATCCCATTTGTATGAGATACACAACTGGGTAAAACTCGAGTGTAGGTTTCAAAAGTTAGTGGTCTTTTAGGGAGGCTCCCAGTGTATTGCCCATGTGCATAGTGTCTTTTCTTGGTTTGTATGCCAGCTTCCTACATGTATTCAGTTTATCACATATAATGAGTTGCATCCTAGGATGTTTGCTTACTTCTATAGAAATAGCTTTGATATGGGAAAAGATTGGAATAACAGGAGCGAAATCTTCAAGTAGTAAGTCCAGTTTCTTAGAAATGTACTTAGGGCTTTAAATGAAGAGAAAGGACTCTAAGCTACAACTTTGTTTATTCTCTCTGAGGTTCAGAAGAATTAACAATTTTGGAAAGTAACTTCCTTTCCACTATTGTTTTTTCCTTAGTTAACAGCATCATTAATGTGGTCATTTCAGGAGCTCTGCCACTGCTAACATATTTGGATGTGGACTAGGATGGAAATCACATGACTTCATAGTGTTAGACACCAAGTTTCTTAATGAGCCATTTGAAATGTTTGTATCATTCAGAACAGGCAAGCATGCTCTCTAGCTGTGGTTTTACAGAATATATATCGAAGATTTCATAAGCCTTTAAACGTGAATAATGTATCCAATAATATTTTAGGGGCCTTTTACTTGTCTCTTGAATCCCAGCCATTTTCATCTAAGACTCACTTTCAAAAACCACACAGAAACTTTGTTTGTTGGCTCTTTAAAAACTCTGATATCTATAATTCAGCCTCTTCCTTCCTTGAATATTTAGCCTAGTGGTGAGAGACAACTGTGATTTGACATTGTAAAATGTGTTTCTTAGTGTTCCCTGAGAGTTAGTGCTATTTAAGCTGAGTCTTAAGAGCAAGTACAAGTTATGCCGGTGCATAACGAGGAGAAGATGCTCAGGTCAGAGGCGAGCTTGAAGGGTATCAGACAGCATCTTGTGTTTGGCAGCTGTTTGAATGTAGATGCAGCTAATACAAAGGGATGCCCTGTACAATGAGTGGTGAAACAAGGGTGGGTCCTTGAGTGTCTCAGTGTCATGCTGAGAAGTGGGGACTCTGCTGTCACAGTCACTGCCATGGGCATTGCCTAGTTGGTACTGTTGGCACAATGGCAGAGTGAGAGGAGAGACTGAATGTAAAACAGAAATCAGAGGCATAATTCATGTAGACCCCAAAATAGTGAGAGTGTATTTTCAAGGAGATCTTGAAGAATAGCAAACCTGAATAGCATATGAGTAGAAAAGCAAAGAACAGCAATGTTTTTTCTACCCCTGGCAAAAGTAGGTCCTTGCCTCCTTTCCAAGGGCTTATCATTCACAAGTTGTTTCTGATGTGTATCTAATAGCATCTTACAGTTGTTTGGAAATGGGTCTTCTATCCTTTCTGTGAGGTGGGGAAATGCACTTTAACAATATGCTTTTGATAAAGAAACATAGTGGCTGACTCAGTGCCTGGGACCCTCAGTTTTGCACAGTGGTTACCCATTTCCAAGCATTACTTTCAATCAGAGATTTTAACGTGCTCTTAAGTACCCTTTTACACGTCCGTCCTGTTAGACTGGCTCCACCTGGCTCCTTTGGCATACATCCTCCAGTTTGAATTAATTAATCCTTTTTTTTCTAATTTTGGAATTACTAGATGACTGTGAGGAAAGCTTAGAAAATCAAAACATACCGTAACTGAAAATTATGAGGTATTTTTCGTTTGTTTTTCCTGCCTGGAGAAGATGACACTGTGCTCTACAGAGATGAGCACTTGGCTTAGAGGTTTAGAATATTCCTGCTTTGTACCTTTGAGCATCTTCATTATGCTTGAAGTTGTTCTTCATATTCTAGGGATTTCATGGGAGGCACATGAGCTAAAACTTCACCGAAGAGTAACTTTACCATTATTACAGGTTGGGTTACCAAGGCCTACACAAGCTAATTGAAATTCCATCCCCAAAGGCTAGAGGCTTTCTTAAGACCTGCATTCATGTGTGCTGATTTCTAGTGACTTTTCATAGGACATTGAAACATTTCTGCAATTTAGCCTTGAACTTGAACTAGGTCTTGTCAGAGGCAACCTACTTTAGGAATTTAGTCTCCTTCAAATGAATCTCTGTGCATTCACCTAAAGGCCAGAGCAGTTCAATAGTTTACTTTAAAATCCCCGTGTGTTTTCACATTATTCTTTTCCTCAGTTCCCCTTTTAATCCTTTGGCTTGGGTAGCATCTAGTTCAATGTCTTTTCAAAGACTAAATAAAAATCATACAAAATAATGAGGAAAATGTAAGTTAAGCAAGAGGGTATTAAAACAAAAGATTATTTTAACTAATTAAAAATTAAACAAATAACAATATCAAACTTTTATTTGAGAGAAGCTGGTTGAACATGTCTGAAATATGAGAAATTGAAGTTCTAATTCTGTTTTAATGAGATCATCCCATGGTTGTTTTTCTAAGTTAATAGTCTATATTCATGAATATTTTCTATGTGGATGGAGAATTTTTACTTCCATTACTTAATTTTTAGGCCATATGAAAATAAAACCTATCTTGCTGTTGGGAGCATGAAGACCATAATGCTCAATGTGTCCTTGTTCAATGCTGGAGATGATGCTTATGAAACCACTCTGAATGTCCAACTCCCCACAGGACTTTATTTCATTAAGATCTTAGACCTGGTAAGTGCTAGAAACCACAATGGTAGAATGTACTCACATTTAAAAACAAATGTAAATGCTATAGTTACTCCACTCATTTAGTGTAGACAACTGAAATTTTCCTCTTAATGTTTTGACATCAATCAGTCTCTGGTTATTTTGAGATGTTCTTCCTCCCCTGCTCTAAGATACAAGTAATCTAAGTGGAAAGGTGTCTGCTTCCTTCCTTCCTTCCTCCCTCCCCCCCCCCCCCCCCCCCCCCCCCCCCCCCCTCCCTCCCTCCCTCCCTCCCTCCCGTCCTTCCTTCCTCCCTTCCTTCCTTCTTTCCATTGTTAGGAGAGGATTCCTTGGGCACCACAAATTCTTCTCTGCCACATGTTTTTTAAGATGCTGAGGATGCTTATCTTGGAGCAATAGTCCTCCTCCATGTTAAGTATCCAGAATTTCTGCACCACACTTTAAGCCAAGGTTCTCAGTCCTTCTGAACTATCCAATATTTCTAAACTATCAGCCTTTCTCATTCTTGAAATCCTGCTTTCAAGCCAGATCCTGAAGTAGACAGGGATTTTTGCATGTGTACATGGGACTCATTATTAAATTATTGACACTTTAGTGAGTTTTTAGGAGGGTTGAGTCACAAATAGAACAGCCCCCAGGACATTTGCCTTGAGATCTCTCTATCTTCTAGCCAGCCAACCCCAGAAGCCTTTTAAAAGTTGACATTTACTCCTTTCTCTAGATCACCAAGAAGCTATTTCAAAAGGGGGAGGATAAATTCTATGGACTCAGAGCCTATTCTTTAGTGTATTTCTACCTATGATTTGCACTTACCACAATTAAATACTTTAAACACATTTCAGATATATTAGAGATAAGGAAATAGGGACTTTGTGGCTTTTTTGCTCCCTGATGTTTCAAAGATTTCCCTCTTAGACAAAGAAGGAAACATGGGAGTTCACACCCAGGAGTTGTTTATAAAGAGTTGTTTTGTATTGCCTATGTATAAACGTTTCTATCACTTACTATAATTCTAAATATTATGCCCAAGCTAAGCAGAAAATGGGTTCCTAAGAATAATATTTCTCCAATGATTGTCTTTTAAAAAACTGTCCTCAAACATGTTTTCATCAATATCTAATTCTCCCCAAACTAATTGTTCTATCTTTTTTTTTCCTTTAGGAAGAGAAACAAATACACTGCGAAGTGACAGAGAGCTCAGGCGTAGTGAAGCTTGCCTGCAGCCTTGGTTACATATATGTGGATCGTCTCTCAAGGGTAAGTAGTTAGCGTTTTCATTTGCTAATTGGAATGTACTTTTCTACCTTTATGCCGCATTAAAAATGGTTTCCTGAACTTAGTTATGAAGCTAGGTGAGAGCACCTTGTCCTGGACTCTGAGCTTTGTATTTATATTCTTGGCAGTGTTCATTGTTCAGCGTGGGGGTACGGGGTTCTGGAGTGACCAGAGAACCTGTTTATGTCAAGGCAGGAAAATAAATATGCCAATCAGAATTTGTTTTGCCTGCTTACTTTTTCCCAACACCCCCACCCCACCCCAGGTGGCCCTGTCTGCCAGGCATGTTACCTCTGCTACACAAAAAGGTGTTTTTGGCAAGCATCCTCAACCAAATTGTTAAAGCATCTCTAATGGTGTCCTTCTGGGCCTGCCAGTCTTTACATTCAGAGAAGGCTTTGTTTCTGAAAGTGATGCACTGAAACGCTCACACCTTAAACCTGACAGTTTCTGCATGATATAGAACTTCTGCCATATCTAGAATGTTCCACTGTTTTCCTTAAGAAATAAAAAACAAAATGAACTAAAAAATGTATTTCAGGTTAAAAACCGCCTCTTTCCTCTCTGCTTTCCAGGTAGACATCAGCTTTCTCCTGGATGTGAGCTCGCTCAGCAGGGCAGATGAGGACCTCAGCATCAGCGTGCATGCCTCCTGGTATGGTTCAGTGTGCAAGAAGCAACTGTCACAAAGGACATGTCTCATTCTGGCGATGGCTTAAAGGGATCCATAGTGCTGTGTTCTGATGATTATCTATAAATCACAACAGTATAAATAATGAGAGCAGTTTCTACCAACCCTGCCCTATACCGTGTATCACTGCCACTTACTTCTCTTTTTATTCCTATTCCCCTTCAATGCTACTGAATAGCGCTCTATTAAGTCTTCATAGTTTGCAGTAGGTGCTCTCTGATGCTGTGTTCTCATGGGGCTTTTTATGTTTCTACAGTGAAAATGAGGGTGAATTGGACCAAGTGAAGGACAACAGAGTGACCTTAGCAATACCTCTAAGATATGAGGTTATGCTGACTGTTCACGGGTAAGTCACAGAGGCCTCGGGATTAGAGACGATTCTCTCTACTGTTGTTTTTTTCTTATATTAATGAAAGAAGCATGTTTGAACATGTTTAAGTGGAAAGGATACTGTGTCTCTGTGATTACCTCTGAGTGCAGCAGCTTGATTGGTGATTCATTATTTTAATCCGCTCTGTAATCTGCTCTGATACTACATCAAACTCATGGCCAGCTGCTGGAGATTTTGTACTGGAAGAGCCCCAATATGCTTTCAATGGGCCATGGTCATCCTTCAGCTTGCAACAAGGCTCACAAGGATCACAGAGTTATGTAGTATGCAGCTGCGGCATGGTGCTCAGTGGCTACGGTAGGGAGCACACAAAAGACTGTGCACTTGGCTGAACTGCTGCTCTACAGAACCCACGTCTAACTGTGTAGCAAATGATGGAAGACATGAGAGAGTTTTCTCTCTTGAACTCTGAGAATGCTCTGCAGTAAGAATTCTGGGGGTAGCTTTATGATTTCCTTTTGGTTTTAGTAATTTCTGAATGGATCCTTCTATGATTCAAAATGTGTAGCTAGAGACTGAAAGATGGGAATGACAAAATCTCTAAGCACTCCACTGGCTTGTGTTTAGACAATTTTTGTTGTTTCTCTCTGTGTTGTGCAGATTGGCCTGCAACTTGTGTAGATCACAAGGATGTTCTTGAGCTTTTGGTGATCATCCTGGCTCTCCACCCTGAGTGTTAGCTTTATACCCATGTACCACCATGCCCAGTAATCATTACATCATTGTTTCATGCAATATATTTTGATCATATTCCTAATTCCTCCCACATCCATTCTACTTCCTTCAATGCCTCCAAATTCATGTCATCTTTAGATAAAATAACTCATAAATTCTATATGATGCTCACATATTCCTGAGTGTGGTGCCATCCACTGAAGTGTTTTCATATCTCCCACCCCATCACACACACATAAAGAATACTGACTTTCCCTCCCCTAGAAAGCCTTAGCTGTCCACAGCATGTTGGTTAGGGGAGGGCAGTCATGGGCCCCTTCCATCTCATACTAGATTCGTGCACACATTTTTAACACAGTAGACAATATGAATTACAGAACAAAATGGATAAATGAATTTTATGTATTGCTTGAAGTATAATGTATCCCTTCATCATTTTAACCATCTATGAAGAAGACATCCAACTGCATTTAAATGTCAGTTCCTGTAACTGATAGAATTGAGTATCAGTTGTATGAAGGAGAGAGAGAGAGAGAGAGAGTGGCTCTTCTCAGAGAAGCAGGCCCTGAGAATCAATGGTGAAGCAAATCAAAGCTAATTGGTGTTTCCTAGCATTGAATATACACCCTGTTTCTCCATTTTTCACATTATGAGCATCTTTGTTTCCCCTGTTAGTATTTGGGACATAGATAACAAGCATTAAATTGTACACATGTATGTTGTTGGACTATTTCTAATACTTTTTCTGCCTCCTTAATCCCTTATTGGAAATTATCTCTTATTAACAGTTGAATATGAGTGACTTGTGGAATAGGGACTTCCCCTGAACTGCACTTTCTTGGTGCTTGCTGCTCTGTACATTTGTCTAATTGCAGGACTTTTACAAAACAGTTAAAAAACTTAGGTCCTAGCAAACACTTGCCTGTATAAGTCAGTGGTTGGCTTGTTGACCAGGCTTTTGCACTCCAGCAGCCATCAGTAAATAATTAACAGTTTAGGTTGAGGTGCCACACCCCTACAACAAAGTAAAGGTCAAAAAAGTGCAAATGGCAACCAGCCAGCAGGTGTGCAGAAGGCAGGCAAGTACATATATTGGCTAGAATAGGCATGGCCAACTGGCCTTCCTGTTATGTCAATTGTTAGTGCTTTTCATCTGACCAAGAAATCGAAAGGATTCTGCATTGTTACCTTGTGAATGTGCTGCACTCCACTTCTAAAGAAGGACTATACAATCCCTCATCAAAACGGCAGGACATTGAACTTGCCCTTGTTCCCATCAGGTTTGTGAACCCAACTTCATTTGTGTATGGATCCAGTGAAGAAAATGAGCCAGAAACGTGCATGGCAGAGAAGCTGAACCTCACTTTCCATGTAAGCAAAGCTGATTTTGTAGATGCTGGTAGTAGACAGGAATGTCTGTCCCCACAGTGTCCCTCAGTCTCAGTGACCATGGCTGGCTGCAGGGCCTCAATACTGTGACTGGGCCCTTTCCTTTTAGGTTATGGTTGCTTTTCCCACTTCTCTTGTCCCAAACTTTCTAAGTAAGATATGTGAATACCTCAAACATGCAGAGTTTGGAAATCTCTTGATCATTTTGGAGATGCATTCAAGGTGGATAAGCCAAGAGAAAATATGGTTGGAGGTAATTCAGGAAATCTATAGTTGGTTCAAGGTCTTTAACAGGCCCAATATTACCAAGTCATGGAAGCATTTATCTTCCCTTGCTTGAGGATCAACATGCTTGGCTTGCCTTCTGAGCTTTAGGATTAGGACAGATATTAATACTTCTTTATGAGGATGGTATTAAATAATCTTTTTTTAGTTCAAAAAGTATTATCCTCATATACAACTACATTTATAAGTACCAATATAAAACTTATTTTTGAAAATTTGTTATGCAGAAATTTGGTTGTGTCACAGACGGTAAGAGGTAATGTTTACAAAAATATTTGCTTTAAGCAAAAGCACTGTCCAAACATTAAGTAGTATAGCAATGTATAGATTGCAAGTCTTGATTAAATAGTGAAAGTGCCAATGCTCCCTTACTAGGGCAAGGCTATCCAATATGGCTGGTAAGAAATGCAAACCAGGCACAGACTGGAAGAGCTACAGTAAGACTGAGATTGTGTCAAGTTTATTGCAAGCAATTCAACTTTTTTATACCTTTACTGGCAATGGAATATAATGGTGATTTCCAGGATCAATGCTATGGCAGTTGCCAGGATATAGTGATGTTTACAAGCTACCCTGAGTACACAAGAATAATGTCTAAGATCAATTGTCCTGTTAACTTCTAAGGAACACAGAAAAACTCAGATGGCTTGAACACTTTACGTCCTGAAGCAGTGCCTCTGTTTATCAGGAACTGAAGGGCACACAGTACCACAGGAACCAGAGACTTAACCTGAAAACTCTATGATACATTTCTCTTAAGGCGTTTAGATCAGGGCAGCAACATGATTTCCTGCAGAAGAGGAGATAATGCTTTTCATGATGGACTTATGGTGTCTACCCAAGCAGCAAATTTCCAGGGCTTGTTCCAGATCTTTAAAAAATAATGGCCTTGAAATGAAATCCCATCAGATCTATATCGCCTAACATTATTTTGTTGTTTAGTTTTTGTTTGTTTGTTTTTGATTACTTTGTATTTCAATTGAAGACCTAAGAAACACTCATGAGAACTCAGTGAGGGTTTTGATAAACTAAGACAGAAACCAAGTCATACTGTAGCATGGGCTATTCATTACTTTGCAATCACTACTTAAGTATGTGTAATTAAAGTGTGATGGAGTCAAAGCAAAATGGAGACACTTGAGGCTCAAATGTGTGTAGGGAGCCTGCTCAAGAACAAAAGGGTCCTTGGAGGTCTAACCACCATTGGGGATGAGAGACAATACCTAGTTGTTTGTCTGTTCTGTGTTATGGTGATGTGTTCCTCTGTTCAAGTCTGTCTGCCATCCCTTTTCATCCAGGTTCTGTGGCACACCTTTTTCGTGACTTGTATCAGTTTTATAATTAAGCTCTTGAACAGGAAGACTTTTGTCTCAATCTCCCCTTTTCACAGATCTGAAAGCCCCACATTCACCTAGATGGTCTTTGAGGGTTAATGACATATTGTGTTTTCTTAAAGCCAAGTAATATGTCATTTCCCAATTTTAAAACATTATAGCATCATAATTAACCTGATTAAAAATAGACTTCTGGTCAACCTCACAGTAAAGCCTTTAAATATGTAAGTTTAAATAAATATTTACCTCTCTTTGGTTTTGTATTTTGAGACAGGGTCTCTTATTGTAGCTCAAGATGGCCTCAAACTTGTCATCTCTTATTTAAGACTAGTTTTATGACAAAATACAGCCACAAAATTAAAAAAACTTAAAATAATGTGAATTGGAACGAATTAAACTAGAAAAAATCTGACTTCAGCTATTCTGTCCGCTTTGCTGTGTATCTGCCAACTACACACACTTCACTGGCTGGTGGATACTTGCCTCGAGGCTCAATAGTTTCTGCATTTGTAATTATGAAAAAAAAAGCTTTTATAATTCTTTTCTTTATTTTTCAGGTTATAAACACTGGCGTTAGCATGGCTCCAAATGTTAGTGTAAAAATAATGGTACCAAATTCTTTTCTTCCTCAAAATGATAAGTTGTTCAACGTTTTGGATGTCCAGGTAACAGTCTGTTCCCTCTGTCTGACCTATCCTAAGTGTGTCTTAAATACTAACCCTGTTGTGAAGCTGGAGAGTTCTGCTCACTCCCATCACACTCAGTCCCATGGATTGTTTCTGGTTTAACAGAGAGGACTTTGAATATTTTTTTTCAAAACTGTAGACAAGAGGTGGCACCTGCATTGACATATACAATTGGAAAACCTGGTTTTTCCTTCTTTATTAACTATTTTCTATGACTTTCTTTGGAACATGAACCCACAGAAGTAATGTAGTTAGTAAAATATTCCATAAAGCTTAAAGCCAGTATGGCAAGAACAGAGAAGGAAGTCTTCTTTAAGAAAACATTTAAATCATTTCTTATGCTAGTATTTAGTGTCCTGTGAGGAGTTTGTTTTACCTCCGAGCATCAAGAAACAGCAACCAAAAAAAACCTAAAAAGCCTATTAGAGTGAGTTTGGAATCTTTTTTTGAGAATATGCTTTGATTACAGATTTAGATGCTAGGATTTATAATTGTGATATATTTTGTTTTGTGGTTTATGTTGTTTTATGAAACCAAAGAAAATTTAAGTTTAGGCTAGTGTTTATCTGCCATTTTTCTTCCCTTTCTTCTGTAAATTTGGGCCATGTTGTCAAAGTAGGACCGGCAATAATTTAGTTGGGGTTTTGTTTGTGGGTTTGCCAAAGATTTTCTCATATTTTAGTAAACATAATCAACCGAAACTTCTAAAACCATTTTGTGTTAGCTCTTTTTAAAGAGAGGTGATCTTTTTTATGTTTTCTGTCATTAGGCAACTACTGGGCAATGCCATTTTAAACACTATGGAAGAGAGTGTACGTTTGCACAGCAAAAAGGCATAGCGTGGACCTTGACTGATATAGTCAGATTCCTATCAAAGACTGATAAGAGACTCCTGGTAAGTTTCCATTCTTCAAATGTGCATTTCTGCCTTCCTACAAAGAACTAAACCATTCAAAACTAAATTCAATACGGGTTTGGGCTTCCAGGAGAGTGGTAAGGGCTGTAAGCCTAGGTGGTATTCCCTCTAGTAAGGAATGCTGAGATGGCCCAGGGTGAAGTGTGTACTATAGGGTTTCATTACCTAGCAATTACCACCCATGTACCACCCAGACATTATCCTAGCACCCTCTTGAAACCAAGTCACTTGGGCAGCCATATTTATAGCACAAGCTTCTCATTTTCCCAAGTTAGTGACTTTATAAGAGAAACTGGAGAAGCTGTGCAACAAAAAGCCAGAGCACGTAACTTAGGGAGGAGACTCTAATATGGGCGTCATCCTTTTCATCCTGTCCCAGAAGCTTAAATTACTAGGAATGATGAAACACACGCTACACATTGCACATGCTGTATAATTTATAAAACAAGAATGTTTGTTGTATTGAAAGAAAGAAGATGTTTATAAAAAGGACAGTTTTCTAAGTACTACTAAGGATATTTAAAAATACTTCCTCACAGTCAGTTGTGTGAATGTGTACAGGAAAGTACATTGCTGTATGCCTATAGGACTCAGAGGACAACTCTTCTTACATCCTGTAAGGATTTTAACCCAGGTCCTCACATTTAGCAGCAAGTAATTTTACCTGCTAAAGAGCCATCTTGCTGGCACACTAAGGAGATTTTTAATCTATATAAAATATGTTTTACATTTTTAAATTCATATATATACATATGCATACATGTACATATACACATATACATATACATTACACATACATACATATATACACACATACATATGTATATACATAATTTTGTGAGAGAATTCAGGCACGCTACATTGCATGTGTGCTATTGAGAAAGCAACCACAGGTGTCAAACACCCCCCATTAACTTGTTTGAGGAAGATTTTCCTTGTTTTGAGCCTGCTTCTCAAAAATTCTTTCTCTTTCTCCCATCTTGTAGTAGAAACAGTGGGATTATAAGAACATGCAATCTTCTCCAACTTTCCATGGTTTGGGGGGATTCGAACATTTGTCCTCATGATTGCATGACAAGCATTCTATCCACTGAGCCATCTTCTCCAGCTGTTGATTTCTTAAATGTAAAAATTTTTAACATCAGTGCTTTTACATTCTTTTCAAGTATTGCATGCAAGCTGATCAACACTGTTTAGACTTCTTATGCAATTTCGGGAAAATGGAAAGTGGCAAGGAAGCCAGCATTCACCTTCAGCTGGAAGGCAGGCCATCCATCTTGGAAATGGTGAGTCTGAAATCATATAGATAACTTGGTGATGTGGATATTTAAAGCCAGTTATTTTTACATACACAGGATAGTATGGAAACATTCAAAAATTACATAGATAAGATTACAGTTTAAAAATAAAACCCAAATCTCTTTTTTATTGTACTGACAGAAATAAACTATAGTATCATTGGGTTTCATTTAGAAATCATGCAACTGTCTGGGAACTTAATTAAATAGAAGTTGACCATCTTATCAGTTCATACAATGTTAAGTAACCAATTCTCAATGGTTGTAATGCTGCAATCCTTTAATACAGTTCCTTATGTTATGGAGGTAACTCCCAATCATAAAGTTATCTCATCGCTATTTTATAACTATAATTTTGCTATTGTTGTAAATCATAGTATAAATATCTGATATGCAGGATAACTGATAAGCGACCCCTAAAGAGGTCATGATCCATAAGTTGAGAACCACTGCCTTAAATCATCCTTTAAAATATAATATTTAAAAACTAAAACCAAGAAATAAAATTAAAATCTGATTTCAGAGAAAATCAAACTGAAACATCAAACTGTATCAAATAAATCTGGTTGTGGTGGCTCATGCCTGTTATCTCAGCACTCTGGAAGTGGAGACAGTCGTTAGAAGTTTAAGATTATCAGAGCTATGTAGTACTTCATGAGAGTCAGTCTCAAACAAGGGAATATTCATCAGATAGCAAAGAGAGAGAGACTCAGTCATCTTAGCTTCAGATATTCTTACAGTCCTGAGACCAGCAGGGAGCCATTCAGCTGTGATATCTGCCTCTCATATGTCCCAAGTTTTTTAACAGAGGCCCTACTAACAGAGTGAACAGAAAATCCTTTGTTGTCAGACAGCCATGCACACTGCAGGGTATTTAAGAGTGCCCTACATACCAAGCAGTTCCTGCCACTGTTCACATCCCTACAGGCAAAGATGTCCCCAGACACTACATACTGCCCCCAGAGGATAAGTCCTCCTGTTCAAAGAATGCTGTAGGCCTAGGTGAAGTTTGAAATTTCTAGCTCTAAAGACAATCTTTACCCAGAAGACTTTAGCATTTGAGGGACAATAGATCTCCTTAAGAATCTGTAGTCAAAGACCAAGGTGTAGCTCAATTGGGATAATGCTTGCCTAATATGCACAAAGCCCTGGGCTCAATCTTCAGCACTGATCACTGGCATGAGCTAGATATATAGTGCTGTATACCTGTAATTCAAGCAGTAAGATTAGAAAATCAAGATCACTCTAAACTAACATGGCCAGCCTGGACTCCGAGAGAGAGAGAGGGAGAGAGAGAGAGAGAGAGAGAGAGAGAGAGAGAGAGAGAGAGAGAG